TACCCGAGCTGGGCGCCTGCACCCACTGCCGCCTGCCTGGGAAGCGCAGAGTAGGGGACAGCCATGGGGGTCACCTGGCACAGTCAGCTGTTGGTGGGACTGAGCAGAGGTACCAGTCAGGGAGAAGTCCTTCCCGGCTCAGCCTTTTGCTCACAGCTGATCCCGAGCTGACAGACCCGTGAGTGCTTTACCGCCTAAGAAACCTTCTGGCATGGCACTCTGCCAAGTGATGGAGGCAGATGCCTGCGGAGGGAGTGACGTGGTTTTAGCCCTGGCTTGCTCACTCAATATTTTTGCCTGTGGGCCAGCAAAGCTTCAGGGACCCTGAGCTGGAGCGTGATTTTAAGGCGGCTTTGGCTGTGTTGGTAATTTCGGGGGAAGGGGACTTATGGGATGATTGATTTCTGCTGTAGCTGCCTGCCCCAGGCTTGCCCAGGACTGCATGTGCAAAGCAAGTCCCTGCATGAGGCAGCTGTCAAGTCTGGGTGCCTCACATACTGCTCAGAAAAACAGGCCATCCTATCTCAGAGAGATGTTTTGGGGATGGTCCTTTTTCACCTTGTTTAGTGCATGAACAAAGGCAACAGGAAAGGCTTTGAGAAGGGGCTTCCGTAGCCATGGAGGAGCCATGCACCAGGCGCTCCAGCACATGGCTCATGGGGGAAGCGTCGGGGGTGCAAGGCCAGGAGCGGGTGGGATCAGGATGTGTGCTTTTCAGGCAGCTGTAGAATGTGTGGGCCTTTGGCCAAGATTTATGACTACAACTCTTTTCCAGTTTTATAGTTCCTTGTCACTCTGTTAACTCAAATGAGAGATGTTTACATTGCATAAGTAGCTGGAGCACTGGATAGTAACCTATCAATTTTCATGACTATTCCCTGGCAAAAGCTCATAGTCTGTCTTGCAGGACACTAATACCCAAAGCTCCCAGGGCACAAGACACCTAGGGCTTGCTATGTTTTAGGAGACTGCAGTTCAACAGCTAATAAAACGACTAGGTCAAGAACTGCACAGTCAGGTCTCTGTGGAGTCCTGGCATAAGACCAAATTTCTGCTGATGGGTAGCTCCAGAGGAAAGGATGAGCACACAGTAACAGTGGAGGTGAAGGCTTATGTGCAGCAAGCTGCCCTGGCGAGGGGCTGCTTCACCTGCAGGTCACAGGAGGCAGATCCCACTGAGAACTACGTTCCAACGTGGTCTGGCTTGACACTGCTGCTGGGGACACCCACAGAAGCCATGTCTGGCCTGGGGAGATGCATGCACAGTGATGCAGAGTTCCTGACTGAAACACACGTGTGCTGCAGCATCCTGCTGTGCTGCAGCTGCTCCTGACTCCCACCCTCTCTTTCTCTCCACAGTCCATTGATCCAGGGCAGCAGTTCACTTGGGAGAACTCCAACCTGGAAGTGAATAAACCGAAAAATCGCTACGCAAATGTGATCGCCTATGACCACTCACGTGTCATCCTGACCTCCATAGATGGTAAGAGAGACTCTGAAGTGGGCACTCCAGCAAACAGCTGAACCTGTCTGTAGCAGGGGACCATCTTTTACCCTCTTCTCAGCTGAGTAGGGGCAAACACCAAGAAACCTATCCAACATCTGCATGAGTTCTGGCCAGCAAGAAGAGAGGAAGGGCTCTGTCCAATGTGTGCCTCCTGTTGTTGCTTCTTGCTACAGCTGCTGCCAAGCTGCCAGCAGAGACGTCTGTCCCAACAGCCTCCCTTCCCACTGCTGGCCCCTCTGGGTGACCTCAGCTGTGTTCCTTGGCACATCGTAGGACATAGCACTGTTAGCCCTACTACCCTCTGTCCCAACACCACTGCAGGGCCCAGTGTCTGCCTCTGGGTTTTGTCAGTGTTTGCTCCTGAGCAAGTGCCGCAGGCTGCACAGGATGGTAGGTGCCCCTTTGCCTGGGACATCAGGCCCCACACGTCCCTGTGCTCCCTTGGGAGATGTGTCAGGCCCTGGTCTTCATAGCACTGACCCCCATGGCTCCACGGACCTGCCCCACATCTCTGGAGTCTGGGTGAATACATGCTCTGCGTTCCACGTGCACACACAGGAGCTGGAGCCCAGGCTCCCCCATTCCCACTGTTCATAAAGCAGCATCCGGCTCCACGCACCAGAACTGAGAGCTCAGGAGGGATGAGGAAGATGCAGCTAATTCAATGGACTCCTGCTTGGGGAAGAGGCTGGGGTGGCCCTGCAGTCACTAGCATCCGTTTTCTTAGGATGGAAAGGTCTTTTCTATGGAGTGCCGGGGGCGGGGGGGGTGGGCGGGGTATCCAACCAAACCATCCCTCTCAGCAAGTCCTGTTCAGCAGCAGCAGCTATGCGAAGGCATGGCATGCCTGATGAGGGCAAACCCTCTTAGACAGCTGTGGGGTGAGCACATGGGGGAATCCCTGTTTTCCAGCCTGACTCGGTTGCTGTAAGCAGTGTCTGTGTCTTCCTGGGAACCATTCCCAAACCTCCCTGCCAGGTCCCTGCCACCCATGCCAAGGGAGCCAGGCGCTGCACTCCAGCTGCTGTTCTTCAATGCCGCCAGCACTTTGTTTCTGCTGGAGACAGCTGGGACCTGCAGAAAAATCCCCAGGACAAAAGGATGAGGAGACCACCGGCTTTTATTTCCTTCCTCTAATGAAATGCAGATGCGCTCTCCTTGAGAGACAAGGAGATT